ACGCGTGACGTCACCGGTAATGTATATGTACATGCCCCATAGCTGCCATGTGTTTTGCGTACATATCCGGTAACGTCACGCGTGCGCACGCCATATCGTTTGAAAATCAATTGCCAGTAGTGCTTACTTTGTGGAATAAAAGGATAAATACATGGTGTAAAGTTGTGTAAAATGTTCAAAAACATAGGTGAGATGTCCACGTAGATAGATAAGTGTTTAAAAGCCCGATCATTTTGTGTTTTGTAAAGCGATTTTTCGTGGGAACTTAGGGAACCGGTGTTGATGCTATTTCCAGCTGACAATGTGCTATAGCCCTGCGGCAGTCAATGTACGCAGGCTATAGTACTAGAGCTAGTAATGCATATGATCAAAAGTAGATAATAGGGAATTATCGGGAAATACCGGTATATATATTAATATTATCTACTTCTGATATGATGATAAGGCCATTTTTCTCTTAATTCTAGAGCTAGAGGCATTTGCTCGAGAAATTGGCATTGACCCTGAATGTGACCCTGATCTGATGTGGATAGCCAGAGAAGCCATCATGGCGCCATTACCACCAGAATGGAAACCTGTGTAGGCATATGCTATGTCAATCTTTCTTACATTGTTCATTACCTCATAATTTAACCAATTTGCGTGTGTGTATAGTCATTTATTGCCAATTGCAGTGGTTGCAATATTAAATAATCTCATGATTGCGAAATACACACACGAACATGCACACACGCACGCACACACACATACACACAGATATATATGCATGTATATTTATATTATTCCACTCTATGCTCCAATCACTGTTTCCATACTTTTTTGACTTTGAAAAACAATGGATAACATGAGTTTGATAAATGTAGTAGAAACTACATTTCTCATCAACACTCGAAACTATTGTTGGAGAGGCATAACTGTGAAATTATTCGTTTTTATTATTTGATATACAGGCAAGATCCATCTGGTGAAATCTACTACTTCAACTTTGTTACAAATGATTCAACATGGGATCATCCGTGTGACCAGTACTACCGCGTGAGTTCTTCATGATTACTCTGCTATGTAGGTGAATAGATGGGAGTGGCAATAACACAGTTTGAATCCTTTCTGAGATGGTAAGGGCCTTGATTATGATACAATCAAAATTGTGTATAAATAATATTTTCGTATGACTTTTGCAGGAAATGGTTGCCAATGAGCGGGCTAAAGTTGGAGATGAGGGAAAAAAGAAAGGTGGCAAGAAAGGAAAAAAGAGTAAAAAAGCTGGATCTCGAAATAAGGTCCGTTTATATGAGAGTGCACATGATTCTAATTAGTGATGGGAATCGGTTGGAATGTTATCATCGATCATCGGTTGCACCCAACTGATCGATGATCGAAGATAATCGGTTGAATGTTAATTATGTTATTGATCACGGCTACTACCTGATATTGAAATATATCATATATCATATAATACAGTATTTTTTGTATCCCCCGCTACGAAGTCGTCGGGGATACTATGGTTTCATGTCTCCCCAGCTGCCGCCGCAGACAATTTCCCTTCCGCTCTGTAACTCGACCCCTAATTGACATAGCGCTACCAAACTTGGTATACTTACACATCTTGGGGAGAAGGTGAGCAGCGTACAAAAACCAGGTCACTGCGACATTTATTTGGCCTTTACCTTGACCTTGATCATATTTCATTTCCGCTCTCTAACTCGGCCCCTAATTGACCTAGCGCTACCAAACTTGCTATACTTATACATCTTGGGGACTGGGGAGAATGTGTGTCGCGTACCAAAACCAGGTCACTGCAGCTTTTATTTGACCTTGACCTTGATCATATTTCCCTTCCGCTCTATAACTCGGCCCCTAATTGACCTAGCGCGACCAAACTTGGTATACTTACACATCGTGGGGAGAAGGTGTTTCGCGTACCGAAACCAGGTCACTGCAACCTTTATTTGACATTGACCTTGACCTTTATCATATTTCTTTTCCGCTCTATAACCCGGCTCCTAATTGACTTAGCGTGACCAAACTTCGTTTACTTACACATCTTGGGGAGAACACGGGAGATACATGTAGTTGGCGACAACTGCCCTTTCTAGTTATAATACAATATTCTAAAAGCTATATATAACAGTATTATACTTGCTTATGTTTGGTGTAGGTGAGATTCACTGTCTCCAAGCTGTAACGTAACCAAAAAACACACACAAATTAAATAAAGAGTCATTTCATCAACGTTTGCCAATTTTAATGTAATTTTTTTTTCATACTTGATTATTTATTTTCATAATCGAGTGGTTAGTCGGTTGCTGCAAATGACTGACTTTCGATTATAATCGATCATTGGGACATCACTAATTATAATATAGATAAATCTACGATCTATGAGACTAGTTATTTGCTCATGATATCATCTTATACTGGTTAAAAGAGATATTTTCGAAAGCTCACAATGATGTTATCATGATTGAATTTTTATTATATTTGTATCTACTGTGAGTAAATTCTTTCTTGATAGTGATGGAAAGACATTATTTGAATTGCCTTTACTCTTATTATTCATGCCTGAATTTACGTGGATTTATAAATTGCAGCCACTTCCTGCTCCCAGTGCTGCATTATCTGGACAGATTAATTTACTATCACCTGGAAATACACTCAATGCAACACCTGTGCGGCCTGCAACTGCTGTAGGGGTATGTATTTCATGGACTGTAATTCATTTGGATTAAAAATTTTCTAGGAGAAGTAATAGCGAAAGAAGTTTAATTATTAAAATGTGCATCAGTAGAATTATTTTATCCAATTACAGTGTAAATGTTGTGGAGAATTGCTATACTTAAAGCAGTTTTTTGTCAGGTTGTAATTCTTTATGAAAAAAGGCAAATTATTTTCACACAGTAAATTGGCAAATTTAGCAACTGTGCACGAATTTTCACGTTTTACATCATTTGATTATGTTTCAGATGCACTCTATTCCTGACCCTTTACAAAGCTCTGAACGAATGAGTATTCACGATTCTTTCCCTGCTCCTTACTGTGACCCAGCCCAACAATACATGTATCCTCCTCTTACACATGAACAAGTACAGGTTTGTGCTGCACTGTATATTAGTACAAAATTTCGGACCCACCAGGTGATAGTCGGGCATGCAATTTTCTAGGGGTTCATTGAAATTTTTATTATGCATATAATATAACAAGTGCATGCATGCGTAACATAGTAGGATCACAAATAGTGAACACCTTTCATCTTCATACCTAATGTAATCCTAGACTGCTATTCGCATATTCTTAAGATCGTGGCAGCCGATTATTTTTGCGACTACTTGTTTCAGCCAAGAAGCCCCCGAACAGCACTACTTAGTGCCGGAATAAAGCAGCGTCAAAGTGAAAGCAAGAGTATTACTGCATCACTCACCCCTAGTGCATTCCGGAAGGAATCAGGTATTCATTCTGTGATGATAGCATGACTACTACATTGTTTCTGAGAAATCTCACAGTAACTAGTCGGCGGTGTATTTTATGCCGCCAGTGCCTCCGAATTTTTTTCGTTTTGGTGGTACAATATTCCAATCAATGGCTACCATTCTATGAGATAATATATGATCTGGAAATGTTACCTACTCGCATGTTAAATCTGTAAAAATTAGTGTATTATTGCTGCGATTCCTGGTACAATTAATACGTGCCTATTTCAGTGGAACAACCATCCCGACCAAAGACATCTCGAACCAGAGCTGATAGCAAAGGTTTAGAATTTGGTGGTGGCTTGACTGTGGGGGGTCCGAGAAACTTTGAACTTGGAGGAGGAGGGCTCGAGTTCGGCACGTCAAAGAAAAGCTTTCTGAAGAGTGCCACCAGGAGGAAGGCTAGCAGCGGCAGCAGCAAGGATGCAGATGCAGCGGATGGGCACAACATCGTACGTTCTTTTAGAGGCCAGCTTAGGAGATTTTAAACTGATAGCTTGGATGCGTGCACATCACATTGTTTCAATACTTGCTTATGCTTCAGCTTGCTGAGAGTCTTGGGAAAACAGAGTTTGCAGAGAGTCTGGACGAGGAACGTCCAAGTATTGATGCGGGAAGTCTATTCAGGAGTGAAGATAGAGACATTCAGCACGTACAGTTGAAGTCTGAGTCAGACATTAGCTATAAGGTGGGTGGTGAAAGTAGATATGAGCAGAAAACGTCTGCTCATATTAAAGCCGCAATATGCGCATCCAAACGCTAATTTCTCCAGTACTAGACTAGCAAATACTTTGTGTCATGCATAATCATACTACCTTATGACAAAATAAACTCTAGTTTCTCCCATTTCACTGCGCGTTGTCTTATAAAAGGTATTTGAAAATACCTCCAATGTTGTTCAAATTCTCCGATGTTGTTGACACGTTCACGTTGCTCTGCCAAGCAACCGTACAGCGGGTGCAACCCGTAGCAACATGTGACGTCACCTAACCGATT